ATGAGATCATAAAGGCTCCCAATGCAATTTCTACACAATCACGCATTTTATTGTAATTATAACAATATCCAAGCTTCATTTTAATTGCTCCTGAAATTAGCATCTTTTATTCTTAAGCCTTATATTTTTAATATGCTTCTAACACAAATTTCAGGATCATCATACTGATGACAGACACACAGTATCCATCTGGGCACACCAGTCTACAGAGCTAGTTAATTAGACAGAATATATGAATAATTCAGGCTGTAACCTTAAGACATGCTTTTGTCTAAACTCACTAATTGCAAACTTCAGAAGTTAGCTCAATAAGAATCAGCACAGACTTGCTTGGTTAGTGGGACTTACTCTCAAGAGAAAAAAAATTGTCCTAAATGTAAAATTATGCACTAAATCCCAGAGGACACAATATCATGAAAATGCGATCAAGTTTTCAAAGAACCTTGAAAAGCACAAAAACCTGACTAATTATATATAATTGAACTGTGTTCACCTGGTTCAACATTTGCTCAAAAATCAAATGACAAAGACTGTATTCCTAACCTCTATTTTAGTAAATAATGGTAGAATATTTATATTAAGATACCCTCATAATACAAAACACTTAGCACAGGTATTTCAAGGACAACAGTTGCAAGGTTACCACTTCTGATTAAATTAAGGGCAGTTATGGTGCTATTTTTCCTGTATAGTTTGATTTCAGCACTCATGCCCTAGATTGAACAGTTTCTAATCAGTTCCCAACCATGCTTTACTAATCAGTTCTCATTCCCTCCAATCCAAACACAAATTGTTTTGAATACAGTGTTTGAATACAGAGCACATCTATAGGCATTATCTTAGTTAAGTAGCACAACCTGATTCACTAAAGTTATGAATATTCCAAGACAAAGTTCAAGTAAATTGCATTTACTGCTGACTGTTTATGAAGAGAGACTTGAGAGGTTTGAGCTATTTTGTTTCCATATTACAGCAGAAAAATCCAAGAGTGATCTGATAAAGTTTTTCAATGTTATGGCAGATTATAACAGTAATAAGAAGACAACTTTTAAAAGTAATCCCAAAGTAATTAGAGATGAGTTAGATTTCTTTGTAAATATACTACGGGTAGAATGCGGATTCCTTTCATAAACTGTTTTGAAAAACATACTGGAAAATTTCTTAAGAAATAGAAATTTTGAAGGATCTACAGAGAAAATGCACTCTAAAGAACAACTACCTAAAGAACACTCTAAAGAAAACCTATCCATGTAATTATATAAAAAGTGAATAAGCTATAATAGTGAAATACTCTAATTTATTTCATTCCTCTCACAAACTAGCTCCTCTCCATTCTGTATTACCATATAGTCAAGAACCTTTGCTCCCTCAGCTGTAGAACAGGTGATGAACTGATCATTCTCAGAAGGGACAAGAGTACAGGGACACCAGCCAAATTTGGTGCAGCTAAGTGATTGTCACTTTTTGATACACATCCTAAAAACAATTCATCTTCTCCTCCACTCAACACAACCCTCCCCAAGCAATTATTTACACAATTGTAACTTCACATGTAAGCAATTGGAACTCAAGTAGGCAATTTGGTCCTTCAAGCCTGTTCTGTTATTCAGTCAGATGATAGGGAGGCTACACGTCTTCCCACATTATCCTCATTTCTCTTAATGTCCTCAATACCCAAAATCTACTGATTTCTATCTTGAATATACTCATCAACTGAATTCTACAGCTCGGAGGATTTTAAAGATTCATAGCCCTTTGAGTAAAGAACCCTCTCACCTCAGTCCTAAATGATCAATCACTTATTTCCAGACTTTGACCACTTCACCATGTTGTAGATTTCCAAGCTAGAGCCAAAGGAAAACTTTTCTCAATTTCTGATAAAAAAATTTAATGCATTCTAATTAGATTACCTCTCATTCTTCTAAACTCCAGGGAATCTAGGCCTACTTTGCTCAGTTTCTCCTCGTAAAACATACTCAGTTTCTTCTTCATTATTCCAGGAAAGCACACACTTGTTCTAAACAATACTGAACAACTACTCTGACCAATCATCACATTTAAGGAGTCCAATAAAGGATATCAATAGATAGTTAGCTATGACAGTTAGAAAAATGCATATTTAGCAACACTAGATGTACATTGCATACAATCAATCAATCAATCAATCTTAAAACAAACAAAAGATCTGCTGAACTGAAGAAAGCAGAAGATTATGTCTAAAAGTTTCCCTTTATAGATATAAATTATAACCACAGCAAGACTATAAATAAATTTCATTAGTTCATTGAAGTAGAATGGCAGTGCACAACAAGGTGCAATTATCCTGTCAATTTTGCTTTGATATTTTCAAATTTTTAGGAACACAGAAGAATCCATATTGCAGTCATTTCAACTAACCAAAATCCAATTGTTAGACACTCACAGGAGAACCATCTTATACTCTTGGTTTGCAATAGAGCATAACTAACTTCAGATTATATAAAGTCCAGCAGTGTTCAGAGGTTTTATAGGATCTTGGATGCCTTCTAAAGTTAAGCAAAGTTAAATGTCCTGAAAATCCAGCCGTTCCTGTCAGTTCTTTTGAAACTTGTGCTCACATTTGTGGAATTCTTGATGGCAATAGTGGAATTCAAAACCAAATAATACAACAAGGACATTCATGACAAATTAACTAGAATTTTTTAAGGAACTAAGAAGCAGAATAGATAAAGTGGAAACCACGGACATAATATATTTGGATTTTCAGAAGGCATATTGAGATGTTCAAAATTAGTGGACAATTTTGACAGGGTAAAGAAAGATATTCTGCTTCTAGTCGTTGGTACATCAGTAACCAGAGGTCACAATTTCAAGACTGTCAGCAAGAGAGCTAGGAGTGAGGTAACGAGAAACTTAACTCTGATAATTGTAAGGATTTGGAATGTGCTGCCTGGAAGACTGGTGGAGGCAGATTCCATTGGAGGGTGCAAAAGAGAGCTGGATATATATTTGCAAGTGATGAATTTAGAGTGCTACGGATAGAAGGCTGGACAATGGGACTAGCTAGGTAACTCTTTCGAGTCAGTACAGTCATGATGAGTCGAATGGCCTCCTTCCCTACTGTAAAATTCTATGATTCTATGATTTACGATTCTATGATTGATATGGTACCATGCATTAGGCTGCTTAATAAAACAAGAGCCTTTGGTATTGTTGGTAGTACATTTTAGCATTAGTTAGAAGTTTGGCTAACTAATAGAAGGCACAGAGTTGGGATTAGGGGGCCATTTTCAGGATGGCAACCTGTAACTATGTGATCAGTGCGGCGGTCACAACAATTTACATGATATATTATGATGAGGAAAGTGAATGTACTGTCACAAAGTTTGCAGATGATACATGAGGAATGCCAGATCAGCCACGATCCTATTGAAGGATATACTGGCCTTGGAGGGAGTACAACGTAGGTTTACAACGATGATACCTGGATTTCAAGTGTTAAATCATGAGGAGAGATTACACAAATTAGGCCTTTTTTCTCTAAAATTTAGAAGGTTAAGGGGTGATCTGAAGACTAGAAGAATAAGAAGCGACCTTATTGATACATACAAGATTCTTAGGGCACTGGACAGGGTAGATATGGAAAGGTTGTCTTTCCTTATGGGAGATTCCAGAACAAGCATAATCTCAGAACAAAGGGTTGCACATTTAAGGCAGAAAGAAGGGGAATTTCTTCATTCAGAGGCAATAAATCTGTGCAATTTATTTACTGCACTGGGCTGTTGAGGTTGGGTATTGTTAAGTATACTCAAGGCTCAGAAAGGCAGATTTTTATCAGTAAGGGATTCGAGGTTTGTAGGAAAAAGGTAGGAAAGTGGAGTTGAAGATTATCAAACTGGCCATGATTGCACTTAATGGTGTAGCAGACTTGATGGGCTGAATGGCCTGTTTTAGCTCCAACATTTTTTGGCATGATAAGAAATACGGGCAGGACTAGGCTATGGGCTCTCAAGCCTACTCTGTCATTCAATAAGGACATGGCTAATCTGATTCTGGCCTCCAATCCACTTTCCTGTTTATTTCACATAATGCTCGACTCCCCTTGCAGTTTGAGAATTGGTTAACTTTGCTTTAGATATATTCAATGACTCAACTTCCATAACTTTCTGGACTACTACTTAGACCAATAACGCATTTTGAATACTGTTTGAAATGCTTAAAACAAGTCTGAGTGTCCCTACCCCATGCACAATAGAAAATGTTACCATAGTATCTTAAACATTACCATCCAATTAATCTCCACCACAATTAATCTTATACTATAACTAACCTCTTCAACTACAATAAAATAATGTTTTAAAACATATTAATGTTACTGAACAAGAAAAAGGAAATGGTATATTATCTCAATATATTCTGTGTTAATCTGTTAATTACATAATTTACACGCAGTGGATATATCAATTTCTTACAATGTATTAAAAAGAGTTCAGATAAACTCCATGTCATTTCATGGGAATGTTTTGATACACCTATTCAACATAGAGTAAAGGTATTGCAACAATGTCTGTAGTGCATGTAAAGACTTTGGTGCACTACAAATGCAGTATCTTCAGTATGTACGCACATACCATGGACACCCTGCTTCCGTCAGCCGACTTCACAGCGACTTAATGCCTTTGTAAACGCTTTTTACTGCAAAGGGAAGATAAATCAACTTTAAGGAAAGGTCGATGTATTCTGTAGCATGTCAAGAGTAGTGTAATTGAGAATTTTTACAAGCACATGCAACAAGTTAGTTGAAGCCCAAACTGGATGAATGACTGTTTCATCCTTGCAATTATGAAGCACCTTTGGTAGCTGCAAAGGATAAAGTTGAAACATGCTAATTCAGCATTCTTAAAATGAAATTCTGCAAAGCACAAGAGGAAAGGTCAGTTCACTTTTGATAACGTATCAGAGACATAATACTTCAAAATACAAAATGTTGAGCACGAATGTTTATGATGTCACAACCTTACCTTTTTGTCTTTGCTTTTCTTGTTATTTTGTTGTATCCCAAACATTTTTTCAATTCCAAACAATTTACTTGTCAGTTCATTCTTCTGAGCTGCACTGCAAAAAGGCTGGCCTAAACCACTACCAACTCGATATTTTTCTGTCTGAATCTTGCTCATTGGAGGGGGAAGATCCTGCTTCAGTGTACTACAATTCACACTGGACAGTCCATCTGTGGATTCTGCATAGGATTCCTGATCACTGCTGCTACAGTACTGCCAGTCCTTACGAATGTGAAGCGGAAGCCATCTCGGAGTTGCAGAAGGAGTACTGTTCACTATATCGGATTTCTTAGCTGAAGTAAACATAGACCACGGAGACGTTCCTGGAACATCAAGCCGAGCAGAAGGACTGAGATGTCTGCTACCGTTATGCAAAGTACAATCAGCTTGTGCCAAATCTGAAAGTCGGGATGCATGGAATTTGCCTTCCATGTCAGGACGACAACCATTCCACTGAGAAGTACCCTGCATCTGTCCTTTAGTTTGGACATTACCCCAGGCACCATGGGGGGCATGTTTGTTTGAATTGGTACCCAGGTCAACAACTAAAACTCTGTTATTCTTTTCCTCCTGGCTATAGTATCCAATTCCACTATCACTGTTACTGCCAGTACTATTGTTCTGCTGACTGTCAGATAGGTCCCCATCGAGAAAAGCTCTGGCACGCACACTTTCAAATGACTCCCCCATGTCCTTGTACAACACAGACACAAACTGAAGAACAGGCTGAGAGGAAGGGGGAAACTCCAAGCAGCCACCAGTATCTGGAGTGCACTCAATACTAAATCGCCTGGCAATACCCTGATGAATTTTGTGCTGACAGAGATCTGGATCTACCATGAAGACATGACATGAGGTCCTCAGCCCACCATCATTTTCACTAGCAAGGCTGTGGTCATCAAACATTTGCATGGTGACCAATCCAAAGAATCTTCGGTCATCTGGGCACACAGCACTGAAGGCCAGTTTTTCTGCAGGATACACAGCTAAAACAATATTTTTGTCATTGAATAACTTAATGCAGTCATGCATTATCTTCATTAGGACAAGGGAATGAATCTTCTGCTCAGCACGCAGACGTCGCATGCAGCCACGGATGGCCTGTAAACTATCATTTTCCAGATTTGAACTTGTTGAAGGCAATTCAATGGAACCCAAGTAGCCTACTACCATTCCAACATTCAAAATGCTAGCATCTAAAACAAAACCTTCTTGGTTTTCAAGGCCATTGACAAAAACAGAGTCATCATTCAACACCTTCATTACTTCTTCTTCAGAAAGTGAATTCTGGTTTGTTTTTGCAGTCCTAGATCTGGTTGGAAATCCACTGGCTTTTTCAGTCAATTGTCCTTGTTGTTGTATACAGGTCTTGCCACATTTGGCAGAATTATTGGAATTGTCAAAAAGCATCTTAAAAATGCCACCTGACTGGACATCAGCAACCACTTTTTCAGCTCTGTTTAGACCCATCAATTTTGACTTCGGTTTACTGTTCATCCAAGCCACTTTGCCTTCATTGAAATAAAGTTCCTCATCACTAGAACCTGTATCAGAATGGTTACTACTCTCAGCAATGACAAGTCGTAGTACGCCTGAGCACTGTCCTATCAATTTTACAACATCTTCATGAGAAGCTTTACAGACATTGATGTCATTAACATTAAGTATGCGATCGCCAGATCGAAGCCCAACATAATGTGCTGGACTTCCTTTCAGAATGCAGCTAAGGACACAGGGAGATTGGCCAGAAAGCGTGAATCCATATCCAGTTCTTCCCCTGGCAATATCCACATTCCTAATTCGGAGGGAAGGATTGGTGTTTGAACGGCGTTTCACTTGATCAGCTTGCCTCTGCATTGTTTATATTCCCACAATAGCACAATAATAAACTTGAAATGGTAGTGAAATAGCCAGGGACCAACTGGTCAAGTGCTTCAGCAAGAAGTTTACTGTAGCCATGTCTTTAAATGTCTCCCAAAATCACGCAAGCTGTCCCAACAAAAACACCTGAAAGGTAAAATAAAGTACTTATCAACTACCGTAGTTCCACATAAGGCATTGTAAGGCAAGAAAGTAAATTCTTAACTTGATTCCACTCAATAACTTTCTAATACAAGTCGCTTATTTGATTGGGGGCCCTTTTGGGTTTTTTTTGGAAAATAGTTGTCAGAACTTATTTGGAAGAGAATTGCATTTATATGAAAATTTCATACGAATTAATAATTCTTGACCTTTGTGCTTTTCAATGATAGGCATCAGGCCTAGTGCATATTTGTTAATTGTAATGTTCAGCAACAATTTATCCTAACAGAAACACATTGTGCACAACACAAATAGATTTATAATTCATATAAGAGACTTCTTTTAAACCTACTTGTCACAGATAGCATTCTCACAATACATGAACAGCGCTATGCTGAAAAAAATACATGGAAAGAAAGGCAACATTGCATTTACTGTGGAGCATTTTACAAAATGTGTTTCAATACCTCAAAACATTTTTATAATATACAGTAGACTAGAATAAAAACTTTCACATAACACAAAATAATTAATTTTCAATTATTGCAAATGTGCCCAATAGAAAATGTAAATTTCCACAGCATTCTTAGAGAAGCAGTGATTGCACTAGTATTATTACTTTAAATGTTATTCTCAAGAAATGCTCATAAAAACCAGAAACTTTTACAATAACCATACTAATAACAAATCCTCTATTCATTTTCAATTGTAAAATGAATCCATGTTTCAGTTTATAGAAGAATTACTCTTAAGTGATATCAACACCAAATTTACCACGCTCGCAAAATTTCAGATGTTTACATTTCTATCTTTATAAGCAAGTATTCACTACAACTGTCAAGGACTTCCGAAGTCTCTCTACTTTAAAGAATTAAATCCCTAAATGTCCCCATCCCACTTACAACGCACAAAATCTTAAAAACATTTTCAAAAGTATACCACGTTCAGAATCGATTATCTAGAGATGGAATACACATTCGAAACTGAATGGAAAGTTGCATTCTTAAAAGCGATCCCATTAACAGGTTTTACACCAAATTGCAATTAAACTACATCTGGAAAAGGAGACAAACACAGAGACAAGGCTCGTTTTGTTTGATTGATGGGATGCCTGGATTGCAAACGCTTGGGTGCGGTTTAAAGGCTTCATTTTCAAGTGTAGGACGATAAAAAAAAGTACCTACCCACTGTTTGATTTTCAGCCGTTGTTTTACAGCACTAAAGATAAGGGAAGATTGAGACATCACACAACACCCAGGCCGGACAAAATCCAAAACCCCAACTCCACCCCTTAAAAATAAAAGATCAGTATTTCCTTTTGGCGCAGTTTAAAACATTAAGTGAAAGGAGTGGAAACACAGTTCGTTAAAACACGATGGAATGCATTTTTCCGCTAATCTTGTACATACCGAATTTTCCCCAAATCCAATGCGGATTTGAAGCATTAGTGCTGCTTCTACACATTTACAATAGGTCCGTGCTATAAATGGAAGCCCGATTCCCCTTAGGGATTGCTCCAAATGGCTCCTTGGTCTCAACTTTAGAGAGATCTCTTTCTTTCTCCAACCAAGAAATAACTTGCAGGATTGTTCCACTGACACGGGCTCAACCTAACCTGATGGCGGGTGCCTCCACCAATGAGACAACAGCGATTAGTGTTTCGACGCCGTCGCCAGGGGCAACGACATTTTCTATTGGATAATATTCCCGTCAATTACCCAAGACACCGCCCTTTCGCCAATCATCATCTCTCCCTTTCCATCAAGCCTTGTTTGACCGGTAGAACTCCATTGAGGAGTCCGAGAAAGGAGCTGAAATTTTTAAGTGAGGCGTTTCACGACCAGCAGCTAACATCTACATATAAATACTTCAAAACTTATTAAACATTTTTTTTAAAAAATGATTTTGTTTTGCCGCCGTGTACTTTATTTTTCCTGGGGTGGACAGAAAGCTTTCCATTGCTCTGCAACCGTTGTCAACTCAAAAACCAGCTCGATTAAACAATGGATCTCCTTCCCCCCCACAACGTACACCAAAATAAAATATTTTCTTGGATCGTAACGAACGAGTTGACCGCTATTGTAAACGATCGACTAAAACAAAGTGATTTTCTAAAAAGTAAACTTTTAATGTCACGCACGAAACGTTACTCGAATACTGACAAAACTTAAGTCACTCGATTGGCTTTAAGGGATCTGCCAGAATCCTTTCATTGTTTATTCCCCGTCCGGCACTAGCCTTTCGAGAACGGCGATCTTTTTACATTAGGATTTGAATGGGATTGGCCGCTGGGAGCGCGGATGATCCGTTA